AAAACCTTCGACTTCGGGATAGATTCAACGACCTCGACTTAGGGACTGCGGGATGTGTTCGGCGGATCCAGCAAACAGAAAATCTTTCGTGAAATTAGGGCAATGAATAGTCGTTTATCTTAAAATATAGATATATTTTTAAATATAAAAAATATTCATAAGTATACGAAAATTTAAAAATAATTTGGCGCGCTATTTTGCGCCGTGCGCAATGCGTCATGGCTCACATGTGGCTCAAATAGCGCACGCTATTTTAAACACATGCGCCTCGCCATGAACATGGCGCCGCAGGTGCGCCGCGCCGTCGCCATGGCGCACGCTATTTTGCGCCATTGACAGCTATGTTCTAATCAAAGAGCAAATGATCTCTTCAAGAAAAATTCTTCTCTCACCTCTCACACTGATTTCCCCCAAGGATTGTATCAGGGTTTAGTTAGATCTGGATTTTTACTTCCTATGAGTGCAAGCCCTCATAGTTAATTACCCCTCCTACTATGTAGAAGAGAACTCTCAAATAAAGATGAATAGCTTTATGTGATTTAAATATTTTAGTCACAATTGTGGAGGGAATGGAGGTAGACCCGGTCAATATCCCATGATTCAATCATCCTGAGAATACCGCAAGTTTTAGTCTACCAACACTAACAACCATTGAATGTAGTGTCCAAGGAATCTGATTAATAGTCATTGGTTGTCTCTTTTCAGGGATCCCAAGTAAACTAAAGTGATTAAATGTGAATTTTAGTTTTTTGGGAGCTTAGGCTGTGGTTTGGGGATTATATCTGCTAGAATGCATTGTTAAATTTATTTAGTTTGGGGCTTACGGTTCCTTTTAGGAGTTGCCCTTTTTATGTAGGGTTTACTACTTCCATTGGAAGTCGCTTGCTAATTTAACTTAGAGACAGGTCTTAAAACTTAAGTTAGAAATAGCCTGTAATTTATAAAAGATAGGACTTACTGCTTCCCTTAGAAGTAACCTGCAATTTAAGTTTTGGGGTCTAATACTTCTCTAAGAAGTTTCCCAAATAACAGGTCTTACGATTTCATTGGAAGAAGCCTGTAATTTAAGTTTTGTTTAAATTTGATTTAGGGTGTGTTATTTCTCTTAGTCCTTGAATAGTTTGTTGAAGTAGGCCTTACGGTTTCCATTGGAAGTTGCCTGTTAATTAATTTAGAGTTCTCACTTCTCTTTGAAGTTTCCTAAACAGCATGGCTTATCACTTCCCTTGGACATTGCTTGTAGTTTTGATTTGAGATAGGTCTCACTGCTTCTATTATAAATTTCCTGTCATTTTGATTTGAGGTGGGTCATACTGCTTCTATTAGAGTTACCTATTGATTTATTTAGAATTTATCACTTCTCTTAGAAGTTTTTCAAATAATAGGGCTTACTGCTTCAATTGGAAGTTGCTTGGAGTTTGATTTGGGGTAGGTCTTACTGCTTCCATTGGATATTGTTTGTAGTTTTAAATTTGAGATAGGTCTTATGACTTCCATTGAAAGTTAACAGATACTTTTAGGTTGGGTCTAATTACTTTATTTAGAAGTTTACCCAATGAATTAGTTAATGAACTGGTTTTCCTGCATCCATTGGAAGTGGCCTATAAATTTGATTTGGATAGGTATTATTGCTTCCACTGGTACTAAACGAGGAGGCGAAGACAGGCCGAAGGCCTTCTTCTTTGTACTTACAGTTTGAGAAAATAGAAATAGACTTCTGAGCGTTTGGTCAGGGCTAAAGAGAACAGGTTCAAGGAGGCTCTCGAAGACTGGTTGGGTCAAATGCACGGGGTGCGCGGGTTGCAGGCTGGAGGATTGTGCGGGTCTAGATCAAAGCGTGGGAGAATCATGCTCATGGGTAGTGGGAGGCGAAGTGCAGCTGTGTGGTGTGTGGGAAGCCTTTATGTAGAATTGGGCGGAGTGTGGTGAGATTCCGCACAAGAGCAAGGAGTCGTGCGGGGTGTTCGATCAGAGAGGAAGATGGGGTTCCACATGGGAGCCAGGAGTCGCACAGGGTGTTTGTGCATTTTTCTTGATCGCAAGCTGGCCGTGGGTTGCAAGTCGGAACAGGCCATGGGAGAAGCATGTGAGTTAAACGTGAGTTCGTGCCGTGAGGAAGACTACGGGCTAGATGGGTACACGTGGAACTAGAGATGCAGATCGGGCGGCAAGCTGGGTAAAAGTGCCAGCATGACACTCACATGTGGAGATGGATCGCAAGCGAAGGACGGCATGTGTAGAATCAGGTTGGGTTAGGGTCGCGAGCGAAGGTCGAAGTGCCATATGCGACCTCTAGATTGATCACGAGCAGGCCTGGATGGATCCGAAGAAAGATATGCGTAAGAATAAAAATGAACTAAGCAAGAGTAACCGAATGAGCGTGAGTTCTTCTCCTTTTTATTGGTTCGTTTATTTTTTAAGGTTGAAGGCTAGCGTCTATTCGTGAAAGGAGAAGACTCCTGTCTTTTCTTCTTCTTTTTTCAACAACATAAAGAGGGAAAATTGTGACACCTATAGATGTTAGGCATGTATCATTACTCTTAACTATACTACTATAGTGTAGAGATTATTTCCTTTTCCCAACCCAAATAAATGCGATGAGATTATAGAATAATCTGTGTCCATAATAATGCCAAGTAATAAAGATAAACGCAATACTTCTGATGTATTAAACAGTTTAGTATTGAAGGAAAAACCATATAAAATGGAAACAATCCCTAGAACAAGAATGCAGCACCGCAAGAAAATAAATTTAAGGGTGATGTTTATACCAATGTAGTAACGCAAAATTGTTCTCCAGCACCTTCACAGTCTGATGCAGTAATAATAGGGGTTGAGATCCAAACAAATCCATTTTCCTGGAAAAACTTGTGTGTTGCATACGCCAAGGCATTCCTCACTCTTGTAATCTACAATGTCCAGTAGCCAAAAAACTCATATAAGTACTTCAATCACCTACTTAATAGACTTAAAAATGGATATATGGTATTGGAAACAGAAATACAATAACATAAATTTGCACAAAGAAAATGTGCATATGGAACAAATGGATAGTGTTAGATCTAAAGTTTGATAGGAAAGGAAGTGACACACAAAAGAAGAATGCATAGGCAGTCACCTTGTAAATGAAAATCCAAGCACTCATTCTTAGATGTGATTAAACCTACATATACAGTGCATAATCCGTTTCTCACTTTCAGGAAAAAGAAATCCAATGAAAACATTACAAACTACTTCAAAAGATTATGACGTCGCCTACTCAGAAAATCCTTCATGATGCAGTCACTGGCAATGTGCATTTCAAACAGCATTGCTAAGGAGATGCACATCAAAAATCTCAACTTCATTCTATCAAAGAAGGTGATTCTTTTGTAGTACCTTGGAATAATTTCAGGTGAAGAAGGCATGCTCTCATGAATTTTATAATTAGTATGGATAACTGTCTTGAGAAATAAATGGTTAAGTATCTTCTGCATTGTGGCTTAAAATGCAAAATAGTGCTACAGGGACCGTTATTCAGCAATAAGATAAAGTAAAAGTAATGGCATAGATATCTTTGCTCTCTTTTGCTGTGCTTAGTCAGTTTTGTATGTTTAATCTTGTTCCTCAGGACAAAACTATGAAGAATACTTCAAAAGCCTACGACATGCAGGATACAACAACAACAACATCAAGCCTTTGTCCCACTACGTGTGGTCGGCTACATGAATCCTTTTTCGCCATTGTGTTCAGTTAAAAGTCAAATTCTTATTTAAATCTAATAAAGAATGATCATTTCTAATATTTTCTAACCAAGCCATTTTAGGTCTACCTCCACCTTTCTTAACATAAGTCAAATCTAATACCTCAACTTTCCTAACCGGGTCATCGGAAGGCCTCCGTTTAATGTGACCAAACCATCTAAGACGACTCTTTCTAATCCTATCTTCCACTGGAGCTACTCCAACCTTTTCATGTATATGTTCATTTCGTATCCTATCTCTAAGGGTCAAGCCACTCATCCACCTAAGCATCCTCATCTCTGCAACACTTAACTTAGTATTATGCTTCTCTTTTAATGGCCAATATTCGGCACCATAAAGCAGGATGATAACGATTAATAACATTTAATAGCCTTCAATAGGTTTATTTGGAATTAAGAAAAAAGTAACAAAAAAATCAATTAATGAACAAAGCTTGTTGAGGTGTAGCAAAAACTTGAAAAGCAATCTCCAAAATGAAGAATATTTTTCTTCTCATAAGAGCAAATAAATATAATTACACGAAGGCAAAACTTAGCTATATGTTTTTGCATCTTTGGAGAATGAAAGAGAAGTTCTTCAAATTGAAAGAATGAAAAACAAGGCAACTATGATATCTGTCAAACCAAAAAACAAAACCATTCTTCCAAACTGATAGATCTAGAACAGAAGACTCAACAATTTATCACAGTTTACAGCTTATGTTTTTGCGCCTCTGACGAATGCAGAATAAATTTTCAAATTGGAAGAATGAAAAAACATGGTAACTATGATATATTTCACCAAAAAAAAAGTTATTTTCATTTTCAAACTGATAGTTCTAGAGCAGAAGAATCACCAATTTATCACAGTTTACAACTTAGATGTTAGAGAATTACCAATGGAGAGTTACTAAGCAGGATGAATATGCTGACTTACGAGAAAATATGGAAAACCTCAACGTGATCAGAAGCATAAGATTTTGCAGAGCAACATAAACCCAAAGAAGTATAATGACGAACAGAATGCCAGACATACCGCACCAAACGTATTTGTTCGTGGACGAAAGTGAGCTATTGTTCGCAAAAATTCTCTGCTTGCTCTCTTCTTTTGGATAGGATAAGCTGAAGGATCACTTTTCCCAATCTAAGCAAGCCAAGAAAGGAGTATTAAGAGAATTTCATTATGTAACCATAAAAGAGAAAAGCCTACAATGGGCATGCATGGAAGCAATATTTTTCTTTTAATTTAGGAATGGTGATGAAACAAGAACATGAAAGGAAGATTTAAATGGCACAGGTATGTAAATGGATTTCCGCTATCATAATCATCAATAATTAAGTGGACTTCAATTTTCAATTCCGTGGCAAGTTTACCACACACCTGCTCAAGAAAATGAACTATTAACATTATTCGGACAAAAGGCCATGTTTGCATTTAAGATTCAACACATTTTGAAAAGGATAAACTGTTTAAATCAAATTAAAATTTTCAACAATGATAGCAAAAACAATTATTGTTGTGACAACACATGGTAATGTGAAAAAGAGAAGAGAGAAACTCCGGAACCTGCCAGAACTCAAAACTATCTGATTTATACAAGAGTTTTGACAATTCGTGTATCCTAATCAAGACTTAAAACTTATTTTTGAGAGCTAGAGACAAAAGTCAATTAATTAACAAATAAAGAAAACAAGACAACGAGAGGCAACCTAATACCCCAGCTTTGACGTCTAAAGCCACTTCAGATCCAATTGGGCAATTGAATGCCATCATAAATTTTAAACTTAATTAATCATGGATGAACAAGTTTATTGATGGCTTAAGAAACCATTGATAAGATTGAGTAGCAGTTTTCAAACTGTTACTTCCGTCAGATAATTGAAATAAAAAACACATTCCAAAAAATGTTAAAAGCAATTATTTCAGAGATCTACCACTGCAAGCCTCGCCACTTTTAGCTCCACTTTCTGCTTAGATCCTTCACTTCTGACCAAAGTTCCTTCTATTAGCACGGATGCACCAATTCCAACACTGCCAGTTTCTACCTATCAAGAGAAAAACATTCAATTCAGAAAATATAAAAGACAACGCATCAAAGAATAAATCATGAAACAAAAATAATAGGAATCCAGTAATATTAAAAGAAAAAAGATACCCAGACTATGATAAACTAGTTTACAATCAAATCTAGTAAAACGGTAAGTTAAAAGCGAAAATGGAAGCTAAATATAACCTTAACCAAATTTCCTTAATACAGAAATAAATATAGAACTGATGAGTGCAATAATATGATAATAATTATCAAAATCATTTCTCTTGGATGCTACTAACTTTCTTCATTTCTTGGATAATCATCTGAAGCTTATCTAAGCATTTTTAAACTTGCCATTGGTGACTGACAAATATAGCTTGCAGGGTGGAACCAATCTCTCTTTAGAGGGTGGATAAACTTATTACATAAATAAATTAATGTTAAAAAAATTAAATAGATTCAATGTTTTAAAAGGAGAAATAAAAAATCGAGACGTTTTGTCTAAGCGAGGCGATGCGTAAGCCTCCAGCAAGGCGTAAGCTCAAAACAGTAAAAATAAGCTAATGTAAAATTACAAATAATGATAAAAAATGACAAAATATTAAGTCAATATGCAATTGATGATTTGTTCTAAGAAAAGTAAGCAAGCAATTATTTTCATGATGGTTTATGTATAAAATTATACTGAATATTTGTTTGATTGAAAGAATTAATAATTATATTACTAATTAGTCAATTAATCTAAATTAGATAATTAATTTATGCACTAATTATACTATTAATTATTTAATTAATTTGCTTAATTATTAATATTTTAAATTATATTTATTAAGTTAATCAATAATACCTTAGTCGTGTCTAGGGTTTTCCTTTCATCTTCTCTTTTCGTCCTTGTTGTTCGGCTTCGTTGCTTCGTAGGAGGTGTAGTGATTGCATGCATCGCTTCTTTGGCTCCTTCGTGGCTGTTCGACTTCACTCCTTCGACGACTTTCCCTTCCAGTCGGATCATAAGTTACGACATTTTGATCGGAAGAAACAACGAGATCTTGCTGGCTCGCTGGCTGTGAAGGTAACTTTCTCCCTTTCAAGGCACTGCCTTGATGCGCCTCACGCCTTGAGGCATACGCCTCTGTGGAAAAAGGTGTAAGCCTCGCCCGAACGTTCGAGGCTTAAGCCTCAGTTCGCCCAACCTCCGCCTCGATTCGAGGCGTGCCTCGAGGCGTCCGCTAGACATAATTTAAAGCAAAATGTTATATTTCATTATGATCAATGAATTTAATAATGATTGCAAGCTTTTCAATGTATTTTATATTTTTTTATAAAATTAACTTACAACTTCATTGAGAATCAAGCTAAATACTTTTCTCAATATAAGATACTAGGCAGTCATGAGTCACCCATTTTGCTATGCAATCAATATTTGACAATCTTTAATGCAGAAAATGTTCTCTATTCTAGTAATAATAATTGATAAAGTTAATACCGATGTATTAATCTAAAAGTATGGGATAAATACCATCCTTCATTATCTTAATAGTTTATTTTCCAACATTAGTAATGTAGCCAAAAAATAAAAACTCATCACTGGTGTGCATATCAACAATAAAAGTGAGATTCCAAATCCATAAGCTTTGTCGAAAAATCACATGGGTATAACTCTACAAGACAAATTAGTATTGCCTCATTGAAAGCCGAGAAAAAATCACTTACGTTTAGACATTCCACAAAAATTAAAAACTTAATGCCCACTTTTGAAAAATAATTACTTAATTCTTGAAATTACAAATCAACTAATATATATATATATATATATATGCATTAGATAAGAGTACACATTTTAGATATCTTGGATCTATTGTTCAGAGTGATGGTGAAATAGATGGGGATATTATCAGCAGAATTTAAGTTGGATGATTAAAGTGGAGGAATGCATCAGACTTATTGTGTGATGGACCTGCAATGCTTAAGGAAAAATTTTATAAGATGGTGGTGAGACCTGCAATGCTTTATGGTGCCGAATGTTGGCCATTAAAAGAGAAGCTTAATGCTAAGTTAAGTGTTGCAAAGATGAGGATGCTCAAGTGGATGAGTGGCTTTACCCTTAGAGACAGGATACGAAATGAGCATATACGTGAAAAGGTTGGAGTAGCACCAGTGGAAGATAAGATTAGAGAGAGTCGTCTTAGATGGTTTGGTCACATAAAAAAGAGGCCTTCCGATGACCCAGTTAGAAAAGCAGAGGTATTAGATTTGACTTATGTTAAGAAAGGTCGAGATAGACCTAAAAAGACTTGGTTAGAAAATATTAGAAATGATCTTTCTTTATTAAATTTAAATGAGAATTTGACTTTTAACAGGACACAATGGAGAAAAAGGATTTGTAGCCGACCCCACGTAGTGGGACAAAGGCTTGATGTTGTTATTGTTGTTGTATATTATTATATATAAATTAACATAATAATAATGCAAATTTATCATTTTTTCACCTCCCCATATTGACTGCGCCTTGAATGTAAAGTTTACATTTGGAATATCAACTTCAAAAACATTGCAAAAATGTGACACTTCATTTAATAAATAATTTCAGTCATCATCTCTCCTCATCTGCAATTGTTGTTTGGATACTTGCACCAATTTCATTGCATTCTTGATGTCTTGATCTTTTTTTGTAAGAATTGTGATAATTCAATTGCAATCCTTAAAATGTCAATCATTAAATACATAGTGAAAATAAAGTCAAAAGATTTCATTGCATATAATTAAATACTCACTTCAACTGAATATTGATCACGTATCTCAATCCTCTTTGATAATCTCAAGACTTCAAGTATAAAAACATATATTTTAAAGCGACTAATTAATGTATGAAAATGTGAATCAAGTAATGTATGGAAATGTAAAACCTAATGGATAGTTTATTGCAAATTAGTCCACTTAAACGTCGACCATGACTTAACTCCCAAGTTTTAAGATAGAAAAGTATTTATCAAGTTGGATAACTTTAAAAGTATCAATCATCTTACAAGAAGCTCCAATGATATTTACAATCCCGAAGTGAACTCAAAAAAATGCTTCACCAATCAATAATTATTTGCAATAGCTACTAAATACAATCGGTGTTGATGAACAAAATAATGAACATAAAATATTTGAGAAATGTTATTAAGAATAAGTGTCTTCAAACAATAAACCCTCTTTGTATATTAGAAGCCCCATCAGTCTTAAACACATATCCTATGTAAGCTATATAAATATTTGACAAGTATAACTGCAAGATCTGCCTAAGTACAACTATTTTGGTTGAGAAAAATTTTTAATACAAATGAATTTCTCAATAACTTTTCTCTTTTTATCAATATATCTCACTACGACAATCAATTATTTCTTCGTTGAAATATCGCAAGGCTCGTGTACTATGATGAAGAAATATGAACCACCAATATCATTTATGATGGCAATTAAGGTCTCATCAATTACAACACAACAAATTTCTACATGAATCTTTTCATGAAATCAACTTCAACTTCGTACTAGCATTTGCAAATATAACTTTCTTGACCTTTTAAATATTACTTGTGATGTCATTTTGATACCAAAATAACTAGTTAAAGGACATATGCCACGTCCTTGTTGATAAAAGATTGTTTTAGAATGAATATTAAATACTATTCTTGACTGGACATTCACTTTTTATGAGTTGAGGTTGTTCTTAAACTTATTTTCATCAACAAATAGTTAAGGATAGTGGTTGAATTTTGCTTTAAGTTATAAAAGATAAATTTCACTTTAAATATTTTGAATTTTATTATATATCGAATTTTAAAATTTATTGAAATTTAAATCTTGAACAATTAATACTTAGAATTTGTTGGTATTTTCTTAAATTATGTAATCCCCTCCAGTTGAGATTTTCTATCAATACGACCATCATCAGGGTTTTAAATAATTTTATTTTTATTTTTATATTGCCAACTCTATTTCTTTCCAATAGAAGATCAAGTTCAATTTAAGCTCATATGGCATTTTGATATTACAATCCCCTCTGATTGAGATTCAATTTCAATATGATCATCATCGCGATGACATTGAAGTCATTTTTGATGCACTGGAATGCTATTCAAGACCACTGTACACTTTTTGTATTGTAGCATATTTTTCCAAACCATAATGCGCTTTTTAATATTGTGACATGCTTATTGAGGCTATTACGCGCTCCTTGGAATAGTGACACACCTCTTGATGGTATTGCACATTTCTCAAGGTAATGATATGCTTTTGAGGCAATTGCAACAATTTCAAAGTTGTTGCGTGCTTCTCGAGTTTGTCACATGCTTCTCAAGGCGATGCATTTGATTTTAAAAGTTGTATTTAGATGCATGTGAAATAATGAATATTTACGCAGACATTTATCCAAGATGCTTTGTTTGTATCAAGTTTTGCGCACAACAAAGAAGAAGCCTCCCCATCTCAAAAGAAATATGCAAACATGCTTAAGAAAAATGGACTTTTCAAGCACAAACCTAAATACAATTGGAGTTGATGAGAAAAATAATGAACCTAAAATATTTAAGAAATGTTATTAAGAATAAGTGTCTTCAAACCATAAACTCTCTTTGTATATTAGAAGCCCCATCAATCTTAAACACATATCCTATGTAAGCTATATAAATATTTGACAAGTATAACTACAAGATTGCCTAAGCACAACTATTTTGGTTGAGAAAAATTTTTAATACCAATGAATTTCTCAATAACTTTTCTCTTTTTATCAATATATCTCACTACAACAATCAATTATTTCTTCATTGAAATATCGCAAGGCTGTGTACTATGATGAAGAAATATGAACCACAAATATCATTTATGATGGAAATTAAGGTCTCATCAATTACAACACAACAAATTTCTACATGAATCTTTTCATGAAATCAACTTCAACTTCGTACTAGCATTTGCAAATATAACTTTCTTGACCTTTTAAATATTACTTGTAATGTCATTTTGATACCAAAATCATCAGTTAAAGGACATGTCACGTCCTTGTTAGTAAAAGACTGTTTTAAAATGAATATTAAATACTATTATTGACTGGATATTCACTTTTTATGAGCTGAGGTTGTTCTTAAACTTATTTTCATCAACAAATAGTTAACGATAGTGAATGAATTTTGCTTTAAGTTATAAAAGATAAATTTCACTTTAAATATTTTGAATTTTATTATATATTGAATTTTAAAATTTATTGAAATTTGAATCTTGAACAATTAATACTTAGAATTTGTTGGTATTTTCTTAAATCATGTAATCCCCTCCAGTTTAGATGCATGTTAAATAATGAATATTTACGCAGACATTTATCCAAGATGCTTTGTTGGTATCAAGTTTTGCGCACAACAAAGAAGAAGCCTCCTCCTCTCAAAGGAATATGCAAACATGCTTAAGAAAACTGGACTTTTCAAGCACAAACATACTGACTCCCCCATATATATTTCACAGGCATCTAATAATTATGAAACTTTCCAAAAAGCTTCTAACTATAATTGTTTAGTTGGTACATTTATATATCTTATTACGACTCGACCAAATATATTTTTGTTGTTGGTGTGTTAGTCCACCAGCGCAAATCCTGAAGAAGAAATATTGGATAATGTCTTCAGAACTTTAAGATAAATTAAGAAATCTCTAAGATATGATTTGGTTTATCATAAACAAAATCATTTAAATATAAAATGATGCCAACTATGTTGAATTCATTGAATATCTAAAGTTCACTTCAAGATATTATGTTTTTAAGGGATGTAATCTTTTTTTTTTAGAGAAGTAAACAGTAAAGTATTGTTATCAGATTCAATGTTAGCACATTATGCCTGCAAAATGATATAGATCAAAACTCTTGTAGATGAGTTTGGCTTCTGCATAACTCAACACATGATCCTTAATTATGATAATAAAGTGGCAATCTACATCACTATAATGGGTATCTTTTACAAAAAAATATCAAATAGATTGAAGTGAATTGTCACTTCATTAGAGATATTGTCCTAGTAAAGAAGATCATCAGTCATAATATCTCCAACAAGAATACTCACTATATATATATATATATATATATATATATGGAATGTTATTGTGGAGATTTTGCAAGACTAGGAAGATGTTAGATTTCAATATGTCTTTATTATTGTAATATATACTCATAATTGAGAATATTACTCATTTTTTTCTTCCAAATTTATCTCATCTATTTATATATGTAACTATATCTAAATTATTGCATTTTCTAACTTTTTCATAAAAATAATGTGCATTATTTATCATTATAATATGTGATTGAATATTTTATTTTTTATTGTATTTTTCTTAATTTCTCTAGTATCTTGCCTATATATAACACATTTGCTTGTACTAAAATGATAAATTAATAAAGATGTAATCCTTTTCAATTGTCACTCCTTAAATGTTGTATTTAAATCATTGTGTAGAATCCTCATGATCTTCCCTAAACACTTATGATGGATGTCTCACTCTAATTTCCAATCTACATAGGTTTGCTCTTATGCTTCCCTCTAACTATTGCTCGTTTGTGCTCTAGTGACTTCTTCCAACGTGACATTCTCATCTCTCTTGTTGACTACTAAGACACTTATTTTCTCATCTTTCTCACATATTTGTATAGCTCTACCAACTACCTATATTCTCTAGAATAATTACATTGGTAACTTTGCTATCACTACGTTAACTTCGTCATCAATGTTCTCTACCAATACTTTTTGTCCATTATCTCTCTAGCAATACTCTTTGTCAATACTCTCTACTGATAGTGCATTCAAAGATCTTAGTTGTATTCTCTGACATGGATTTCATTGTCGACTCTTTGCATCAACTCATACAACTCTCTATGATGAATCGATGACACTCTTATTTCAACACTAGTAGCATTTGGGCGATAAAAGCTTTGATCATTTCAACTCTGATATATTATTTCTAAACTCAAATCAATATTTTTGTGTCACCTTGAATTTGCGAGTAAGTGTTATCAAATCTAAATTCTCACATCTCCTAACTTATTTATAGAAGGAATTTGCATAATTTATTATTATAATATTTTCTTTTTATTTAAGACATTTTCCTTGATATATTTTTCTTAACTGTGCAAGTCTCTTATTCATACTAGGAATCCGCACAACACTATTAACCTTTAGGCAATAAACCTTCGATCATTTCACCTCTGGTGTACTATTTAACTCAGTCATATCTTCTGCACCACCTTGAGTTTGTGAGAGAGTGCTACCATCTCTAAATTCTCACATTTGCTAACTTATTTATAATAGGAATCTGCACTTTTTATTATTTTAATATTTTCTTTTTATTAAAGCTATTCTACTTTATATATTTTCCTTAAATCTTCTAGTCTCTTATACATAGGCTCATATTTATTTTTACTAGATAGACGATACTGAAAAAATATAGTCCTTTCTCATTCCATACTTCTCTTAGACTACATATGCAAACACTCATATTAGTGTTAAAAATCAATTAATAAGATTTTTTTGTTCCAAAAACTATATATATATATATATATACATTGCCTCAAGCGATGCATCTTTAATCAACAAGTAGATTACCGACAACACTAGTCTTGCAAATGTCACCACCTACGTAACTACCAAGCATCCATCCATCAACAAAGGGAATTCATTGTATAAGACTTTGCTCGCAAACCTCAGCATCAACTTGAGCTTTGCCATATCCTATTTAATGCTATAGTAACATAATGCTGGCATGCAACATAATTTGTTCCAGGTAAAAGCAGGCTAACCTTGAAATATGCATATTCTTTTGGAGAGAAAGCCATCATAAGTGTAACTAATGCAGCATGAAACATGCAGTGTTTTTCCTTTTGAAGAAAGATACCTCATTGTAGCCCTCGGAAGATGAATTGACCACACATTGTATGTTGGATAAGCATGAACCATCATTTACCTAAAACAAAAATTGCAGGATCTCGAATCACAATCTTCTCATATAGTCATATAAAATTTTGACAAAGTATCTAAGCACTTGTGATGATAATTGTAAAAACATGTTTGTCCAAAAATTGAAGTACTAACCTCAAAATACAATGTATCACCGACATAAGGAATGTAAGGCTTATTTGGCATTGTTGTCTTGTGTTACCAGTGTTGTGTAGTGCCAGTTTTGTATTGAGTTGCTAAGTATATGATTGTTTAACAATATCATATTAAGATTGTCGTGTAAAGTGTTGTAAGAGTCACGCTTGTTTCATAAAAATGGTATTAATATGCATTGGTTGAGTGACCAAAAATACTATTAGGAATTTCATACAATTATAAATGAATATCCTAATATTAACTGGTGTTTAATTAATTTATTTATTTACTGAAGAAAAAAGCTAAATTCCACATAACGACTTTTCTGGGAAGCTAGTCAAACCACCGTTCTAAGAAAATTGCTTTCAGCTTTTATGAACTGAAATTTCTTCTCACAATTATTGAACCAAATAGTTTGCTACTCCAGAAAGTAGAAACAGGCGGCAAAACACTACCCCACCTAGAGTCTCAAGCTTCAGCCCTAAAAGATAGTCTTTTCTCCATCTTCATAAATTATATTGCCCATTCAAGCAATTATGATTTCTATCACCTAAGCATCTGAGTACGCTCGAATGTAAGAATTCAATTAAAATAGAAAAACACAGCACATTAGCACAATAAGTACCGTATTTTGAATCCTTGAATGAAAACATAAATGTACTATTTTGCCTATTTTGGCGAGAAAAAAACAAATGATTACTATCCAAGCTACAATCTTTAATGATTCTAATGAAAGAGAACGCCCACATTTAATAGTATAAATCCACAAAGCTGATCATATCAGTAATTAACTAATTACAGGAGCGAAGTTTAACCTTGACAAGGGTCACACTACTCATTAGAGGAAACTGGAAAGCCACAGCACATTTGCATGCTAAATACCATATTCTGAACCTTTGATTGAAGACATACGTGGATGAGGTAATTGAATGTTATTCAAGAGCTAGCAACAACCTTTTTAATGACTCTGAAGAAAGAGAGCGCGACAACCCATACCACATTTACGATTAAAGGATGAAATTTTAACCTCGATAAATGTAACGATGCTCTGGACGCGGCAAGTTCGAACCCATCCCCTGATCGTGATGCTCTGCCCTATGCTGTCCAACCCTTCATCTGGTCCACCCCTCACATCTACGATCCTTAGCCGCTTCTTGAACTTCCGGACCCCTTCCCCAGCCTCAATTTCAAACTTCTCTCCAACCTCCGCGTCCACAGATAGGGTTTGGTTACAGAAGAGTCTCCAGATGGAGGAATGAGAGGATGGATTCAACGAATGTTGGTGATGAATTGGACGACGGATCAGAGGTGAAGAAGGGTGGAGAGTAACTGAGGGGGAGGGCGAGGGAGCTTTAAAGCTCCGGTTGCCGGATTTAGGGTTTCTGTTGTTGATGCAGTAGAAGAGGATGTGCGCCGCGGGAAGTGGGCGTAAACGGGGGCAGGAAGCGGGAGTGAGGAAAGCACTTGCGGCCACCATCATCGTAACGACCGCAACGAGCTCTGTCCTGATGTCCTCCTCCCAGTTCTGGACCCTAAGGAGCCTTGGTCCAAGCTAGGTCTATCTACGAGCAACGGCTACCGAGTCCCCGCTTTTTTTTTTTTTTTTCGGGATGGGGGAGGGGGGTCCTAAATTTTAGATGGTAAATGATGTGCTCTCAATTCAAATTACTATAGCGTACTGGATACGTGGTGCAATTTTATCTAAATCTGCGCACAAAATTTTTAGGAAAGTAAGTGTTAGATTTTTATTTTTTTGGGACTCTAATTCCTCTAAAAAACTGCACATGGTTTCTTGGGACAAAGTCTGTAAGCTTAAATCAAAAGGGGGACTGGGTTTTCCTTCTGTTAGTGCTCTCCAATTTGCTTTTAACTGCTCGGTCATTGTCAGAATGTATAACTGCTTATCCACTTGGCTATTTAATAAGTATAGCTCTCCTTGGAAGCCTTTTAAATCATCTGATTCAAAATTCTGGAAGGGTATTTGCAACACTGCTGTCTTAGCTAAAGATTGTTTTCAGTTCAGAATTACTCACAAAGCTCCGATATCCCTGAAATGGGATCACTGGTATAACAATTGCACCTTGTCTGGATACCTGGGGAGTGATTTCTTTGATTTCATTCCATATATTGCCTTAAATGTTATAATGCTAGACGGTTCCTGGAATCTCCTTCCTACTTGGAATTCCCAGGTGCGGGCTCTCTTTGATGGAATTCATGTTGAGGAATACTCTGGTAACTGTCTGATATGGAGAAATAGGAAAAACTGCAACTTCAAATGTTATCTGGATGAATTTTATTCGGATTTGCCTGATTATAGCTGGTCCAAAATGATATGGCATAAAAAACATGTTTTAAAACATTCTGTTTTTGTATGGTTGGCGTTAATCGGGGGGCTGAAAACAGCAGATGCTCTACTTATGAGGAATATCCAGGTTTCGGGAACCTGCAGCCTTTGCTTGGAACATGCTGAAACTGTATCTCACTTGTTTTTTGAATGCTCCTACACGTTTTCTATTTTGAATGGTATTATTCCTAGTATGCAATGTTTTCTGTTAAGGCCTACAATTTTACAAATTTTTGACTGGGTTAATGGTGCTCATAAAGATACACAAGAGGTGCATAATTTTTATAAATTGGTCATATGTTGTGTGATCTATTTCATTTGGAAAGAGAGGAACAACAGGAGATTTGGGAATAGCATTAATTGCAACACAACTTTGCTGTTTCAAATCAAGAGAGTTCTGTTTGAAAAGTTATTAAAATGGAAGAATGCCAGAGAATTGCTTGGAAAATTATAAGAGGTTGGTTCGGTTAGTGAGTCTGCTACTCTGTCCCTTCGAGAATCTGTATCAGCTAAGTCTGGACAATAATGAAGCTCCTAGCATAACCCTTGGACGGTCTTCGGGCAACCAGGGTATTGTCACTTTCGCAGCATTTTGTTGATTATCTAAGTCCAGGCAATGTTGGCTTTGGAGCGTGTTTTTCTTTTTGGATTTTTGTATTAGGCGCTTCTCTTTGGAGTTATGGTTCCTCGCCTATTTGTTTTTCCACAGCATTGCTTTAGTATTAGCTGTTCTCCTTTACTCTGGCCAAATTTTGTATACCTTGGCCTTTTTCCCTTTGATGTAAAAGTCAGTTGATGTCTGTTGTTATTTTCCCCTTCGTTAATATACGGGCTAAGCCCAAATTTTCCCAAAAAAAAAAAAAATTCAAATGGACATATTGGTCCTTTAAAAATTAAAACATAAAATCAAGCATTATTTTTTTTATTACCATGATTTTTTGTTCAAAGGTGAAATTTAGTTTTACATGCCTTAAGTAGTCATAATTGATTAAATATAATCATTATTTTTTTTTTCAAAAAATATATTTAAAACTTCAAGTTAAATATAATTACCTCCAATTATGAATAATCATTTTATTCGTAGGGTACTTATGGACTATAAGTCTTTTGAAATTGTTTCTAACCAGTTTAGTTTCAAACCTCAATTTGAAGCTTGTTAGAACCATGATTCTAACATCACGAATATTGGGAAAGCTATCGTAAGGAATGCAACTCCCTGTTGAAGGCAACATTGAGAAAGAATGTTTGTATTAACAATTTGTGGGACAACGATGTTTATGATTCATGGGTTGGTTTGAACCTTGCTCGATGGCATTCGAAACTTAGTATGATCAAAGTGATGGGGAAGCCATCATAGGGCTAGCAACATTGGGCAAGGTATCACTTGATGAAGCTCATTTGGAAGACATCATAAGATGAATAGAGGTTGATTGTTGAGGTCGATGAAACCTGCTAAGTAGGAAATAAGAGGTACAAACTTTGTATGAGGAGAATAGGTGTTTGCACGATAGAGCTAGCTAGGGAATGAATTACATGAATAGTGTCGTGCGATTAAGATCATTAGGAAGGCAATGATGGTCTGGTTGCATATGAGGAAAAGTGGACATTAGGAGATGGCCAAAATGTTCTTAGAGAATCAAACATCTAACATTTTTCTTCAATTGAAAATATTTGTATATATAATGTCATCTTAAATAGTGGAAGTGGTAATATTAATATTGATCTTTGCCATTTAAATTCCTTAAAGATTGTAGTCACTTGAGGTGTTTAGAATTTCGTATCTTCATCAAGTGTGAGCTCAAGATGTATTTAATGGGTATAATTGAATGAATCATACTGAATTTGATGAGAAGTGTCTCTCAGTTGTTGGTTAATCCTGCTTCTTTCATTAATGAGGCTAATCAATTATTTTTGTAGTGAATTCTTACATTGCATGAGGATATTTGAATTACTTTTGATGAGTATTGGTGGAATCATTAGCAATTATTTATTATTATACTTAATAAAGAGAATCAATGCATAGCCTTTAACAACAATGACCAGTAGAAAGGTCAAGGGGGCACCTCTAAGAAAAATATCTCATCATAACTTCAGAACCACTTTTGGTTTTAGCATGCTTTAGGAAAAAATTTAAGTATTCTTTAATATTCTTGCATTTATAAGAAAGACCTGCCAAAGGATTACATCAGAAGCATGTTGAATATGCATGATGATATTAGAGTGGTCAATTTTCTCATAGGGGTCCAAAGTCCTATTATAAGAATCAACTACAAGAAGCATGAATTCTTCTAGTATAAGATGCTAGAGCATTGCATCATTTAAAGGCGAAGATTCTTAAAAGTTACAATGAGGGATAAAATGGTCATTTATGTCACGACCCGGCCCGGTTAGCTCGCAAGTGCGAGGCGGGAACAGAGATCGGACATAAAGAAGATAAAAGAAACTTTACAAAACAATTAATATAACTCCAAAATGAAGCATCAACATAAAGAAAGAGCCACTACAATTTCCAAACATAAACTTTTTCTTTTCTTTCTTTCAAAGATCACCAATCAATGGATTTAGCATTAAGATTACAAAAGATTTCAAAATTATTTCCATCGAAGTCCGACAATCTCGAATTTTTCACTTAAATCTCGTCGCGATGCTTTGAAAAGCGTGCAAAGTCTTAAACGGCATTTTCGGGTTTTATAATTTATCTCAAAGGGAATTCATCATAAGCAATACGCCATAACTCATCTCTCATAATATCATGAGGGTCGTTTATAAAATGATGTTGAATTAATTCCTCCATGGCTTATGGAGTATTATGGGCTAGTCAAATGACATGGGAATGATAGATTGAATTAGCAATATCCACAATAACTTTATGAGGCATTGGTGGAGGGGGAGCTATAGTATAAGAAGGTAACACTTGATTGGCATCAAATGTTTTTGCCCCATAATATTATTAATCATATAATAGGAGAATTTTACTATATTGTTATAGTGTTCTTTGATATCAAGCCTCCTCTAAGAGTTATAGAATTTGAACTTAAAGTTCTTCCATCATGCACATACAATCTTTTAAAGTGAGGCCTAAGTAGTCTTCATCACAAATATTATGTCGTCTATAATTGAGGGATTGATTGCCAGTCATTAAAAAAATATTTGTAATATGTTAAGAATGATTCTCACATACAAAATCAAATTGTTACATGTTAGAAATTTTAAATGGTAGATTATGCATTTAATATCTTAGTTTTGTACAAGGGTTCAACATGTATAGATAAAATTTATAAAAGATCAAAATATTTACATTAGTCGTATTTGTGTAATTTATGTTAGTCATATAAAATTTATAAAAGATCAAATCTTTTCCTTTCATTTATACTCATGCCCACACCATTTCATAACCATTTCCCCACAATTGCCCAACAAAATCCTATCCAAAATATTTTTTAATAATAGAATATTGCTACATAATATTGTAATAACATTGTAATAACAAATTATAGAAAAATTAAAAAGTACACTCTCAAAAGTAGAGGTTTAAGAGAATCACCCAATCCCCTTAGGTTAGTCATCCACCAAACTTTCTGGAATTTTCTTTTCTAAAATGTGTATGCAACAAAAAACTATTAGTTTTTATCAACCTGCATCATTTATTGGAATCAGAGCTTTGATGATTAGTGGATAGTACTTGGATTGAAAAGTGGACACCAAGGAATTGAAAAGTTTGGAGAGGATTTGGCAAATAGTGGAGTTGAACTCTTCAAGAGGTAATCTCTATAAATGCAAGCTTGTTTTGCTTACTCTTACTTTAATGGTATTTAATTTTTCATTGCAATTACATATCGAGTCATGTAGTGTTGATGTATGCATTTAGAGTATTACAACGTTGCCAACAAGTTCCTCTACTACAATTAAATTTATTTATCACCCTTAAGCCTATCAACCCTAATTGAATTGAGAGTACTCAAATCACATAGGGAGTTTTCCACTCAAAATAAATAAACCCTACATTTTATCCCAATTAACATAAGAAAAATCAATTTGAACACTTAAGGGTTTTATCTTAAACTAGTTTAGTTATTTTATCTTTTTTGCTTCAACTTATTAATTTACAGTGTGTAAACGAACAGAAATATTTTCAAAAATTACTTGCATTTCTTTTAATCAAATATGCAAACATTTTATATTTGAAAAATTATAAAATCTTTTTTAAATCATAATATTAAGCATTCAATCATGTCTCAAATGTCCTCTTGTTATGA